TGCTGGGAAGCCATAGGATTGTTTCCTAAAGTAACCCTCCCCAACATGGTGCCCTCCTGATGTATTAGACAGCTCTCAGCATGGCTAGCTATAGGATGCTGGGAGTTGTAGTCAAACACATCCATGGGGTGCTGCAGTGAAAACAGCTGCTCTCAAGTGTATAATGAACTCTGTTTCCAAGAGGATGTTATATTTATCCAGAGTGTTCTTTATTTTCATAGCACCTTTTTAATACAAACACCATCCAAAGAAGGTGTAAGAAATGCTCCTTATGTTCAAAGTGCAGCACAGCTAACATTAAGGGCTGAAAGTGCTGCTAAACTACATTGTTACATCTAACAATCATCTCTGCAAAACTTAGCATGCTGAACATTTCCAAGCTACATCATTCTTTGAAAAAAGAAATGGCACACACACATGCGTGCATGCACGCTCGAGTACTCACACACCCCTCAAGTACCTCTTACATATCCACATAGAAAAAGAAGCCTAAAAGGGCATAAACCCAGGACTCTTTTGCCGCCTATCTAGGTCACCTTTAAGCAATGCAAAGGACATTTCAAAGGACTGGATTTCACGCTCATCACCTTTCGCCCCCTGCTGTTCTAGGCATGCCTCATTTGTGTGCCTGCAGATATCAAACTGCTTTGATCAAACGCCAAATCACTGTGCATTTAACAGATCAAGACTGAAAGCCAAACTGAAGCAATTTGCCACCTTAACAGATTTGAGGATATATACTAATAATTTGTGTCATATACTGAAAATGCACCAAAAAGGCACCCCACATCATCACAACTGCCACCATTACCACCTAAAGCCCTTATTATCATCATAAACCACTATAGACCATGTTTAGAAGCATCACCCAAGTTTCAGAAACATTCTGCAGCAGAGAAGCAAGAATATCATAGTTTCTTCTGCCTAAGTTTAAATAAACAACTCGGTGCTCTTGCATCCTGTCTTTTGCTTGGCATGGACCACATACTGTGACAGCTGGAAGGTTTACATCCGCACACACTGACATTTTACACACATATGGAGAGCATCAGAGTGTTGAACATGTTCTCCTTGCTTATACTTGGGAAGCTGTTCTGTTATTAGAAATTAAGTATGCAGAGTATTTTGTTCATGTGACAATGCCAATTCCTGTTCAAACTCAAAGGAATGTAATCTGATGTAGTTAAAGAACATTGCACATGAAAACAGAACTGAAGCTTCATTACTGAAAATAAAGATAACATTTTAACATTTATAGGAGCTGCATAACTCCTATAGTACAGCACAAAAATGAAATAAATCAGGAGGATTCTAAGAAATGCTTATGAACTTCATGCACGAAATCAGCACTAAAGTGAAAGGAAGGGAAAAGAAAATGAGACAGACGTCACATTTAGCCAGTCCTGCACTGCACAGGCTATGTAACTGTGTGGTCTGAAGGCACATGATGCACCAAGCTTGCTGAAGCTAAGCAAGTCTAGTTTAGACAATGACCTGGTTTGCCAATGTAACAACCCACCCGGGGTGATCAGCTATTGTGGGCTGTTGTGTAAATGCTGCATGGCAATTTTCTTATGGGTTGCTTGAAAGACCTAAAGAGCTGTCCAGCAAAGCGGCAAAAACAGCTGCCCCTCCTTGTATTCTTCTTCATGTCACCCCCATCTGTCCTCATTCCTTCTCAAAGCTGTCCTCCCTATGCCCCTAAATATTGTTGGTCTCGCACTGTTGCACAATAACTAGTAAACACACAGCTGCATTTATAAGGACTCTGAAGATTAATTCTATTTAGCAACCTCATGGGGGAGGGGTTTCCTTGTGTAGCCAGCGTCCCCAAAGGACCAACTGAAGAAAGCATGCTAATGTAGGGACCCAGCTGATGAGACTTTTCTCCACAAAAACCCTGGGGTACATGCCAGAACTGGTGGAGGAACAGAAGGGGAATGACGTAGGGACCAAGTCACTGAAAGGTTAACTGTAGGGAATACTGTGGTTGTTCGGCAAACAACCAACACATGGTGGCTTATTAGCAAGCTGGCTTAGTTTCACCTGCCTAGTAAATGGACTGGAAACAAACTAGGAATTTACATATCCTGCCATAAAGTTCTTCACAGTGGTACATAAGCAAAATATTTATTTATTACACTTATATACCACTCATAGGCTATGGGCTCTCTGCTCAGTTTACAAATATTGTATTGTATAATATTGTATTATTAGGGCTAATAGCAGTCCTATAATTCTACAGGATTGGGCAATCTGTTAGGACGGTCTTCCCTTGAAAGTTGATAGAGACAACTGGTTTGCTGATGCTTCCCCCCTCAGACTTTTCTGCTATTAGGTCTGGTAGTTCCTGTAACACACCGGTCAGTCTCTGGAATCATGCAATCTCTAGGGAGTTGGCACATCACTTCTAAAACCAGCACACTTCTCTTCTTCTGGACAGACCCCATTCAATTTGGTTTACCAGGGAGCTGAGGGCAATGACTAAAGCAACGAACTTGTCACAAATCTAACTAAACCATGGTCATATTTCAAGAGACATACGGTTGCATCCAGCTTTTCACTGGATCAATTGCACTTCTCTATTCCTTCTCATTGTAGCCCTTTCAGCTCTCTGAAAATGCTACACAGAGAGTCAGAAGTCCCTGCTGAATGGGGCAAACTGTGTCATGGGGGGAGATATCCCCAAAAATCATATGGCAACACCTTCTGCAACTGGAGCCCTTTCTCTTGTGGAAGGTAAATCCTGGCTCCAACCCACCAGAGTTGGGGTTAGGTTAACACTTCTAAGCACTTCTGAAATACCCAAGGTTACCTGTTATACTGTTAAAGATAATTTACAGGTTGTACAATCTGCAGATGTGGATAGGATTCTTGGAGAAGTAAGACTAAGTACCTGTATTCTTGATACTTCCTAGGTAACTAATCCCAGTCTCAACAGTAAATACAGGTTGTGGTCCTTGCACCACTGAAGGAAGGTGTAATGAAATATCTCTTGAAAAAATTCTCACTGGATGCTATAGTTTGAAATCTTTATTGCCAATCTGTTGATCATGAATGTGAAAATGTGAAAGGACAATGGTATCCCAGTTCCAGGTATTCCTGAAGAAATCTAGACCCTTATCAATCTGCATTCCAACCTAGGCTAACCACCTTTGTTTTATCTGCTAGATGATTTATGTTGGAGTATAGATAGGTTTTAGGCATGATAAGAGGTGCTGCATTTCCCCTCGACCCCAGCCCAACCATCAGATATGCAGTGGACATACTCAGGGATGGCCAGGTAGCAGCGGCAGCTACGAAAGGTTTTCAGAAGCATCAGTTACATATTTTCCTGGGTAAGTTAGATTCCTCCATTATGTCCAAACAGGATTATTATAACATACTCTGTGCCTTTGAAAAACTCTGGATTCTCCAACTGGTTCAGAATGCAGCAGTCAGATTATTGTCCTAGCATAAGGTGTTCTGATTATACTATCTATGTTGTAAGCCGCCCCGAGGCTTCGGCGAATGGGGCGGCATAAAAATGTTTTAATAAATAAATAAATAAATATCCCAGTCTCACAGGAGCACTGACTGATAATTTGCTTCTGAGCTCAATTTAAATTTCTGGTCTTAACCTTTAAGGCCCTAAATGGTCTGGAACTATAATACTTCAGGTACTAGCTCTTCTCATATGAACCTTCTCAGGTGCTTTGTTGAAGCCCTTTTGATTGTACTCTTGCCATCTGAAATACCGCAGGTGGAAATACAAAAGAGATGTTTAGACTGCAGCACTCAGGCTGTGGAATTCACTCTTGAAAGAGGCCCACATGCTGTTGCCTTTTGATGAGCAGCAAAAATGTGACTTTTTAAAGACAGCCTTTGAGTTAAATTAATTATGTTGCTGTAAGGCTTTGGCTGTTTGAATCTGGCATTACAGCTTTTTAAAAAAGTATTTAAAACTAGTTTTTAAATCTAAGTTTTCTAACATCTTGAGGGTCATTCCAAGAAAGGTGGAATATAAATGTTTTTAATGTTATTACTACTCTAGGTTTGGGTGATGTGTTAGCATTGCTTTATTAATAGTTCAGGAACTAAACAGAGATAAGCGGATATAATACAAGTTCAAAAAAGGAGCTGTATGTTTGATGTTAACCATGCACTCTGTACAGAGTTGATTAAACACATAGCAAGAGCCAAATGACCTGCAAAGCACCATTCGTGACATTCTTTGTAGCTAAATGCATTATATTTCAACTTTTCAGCATGCTGCACAAAATACAAAGGAGGCTTCACTGGCATAACAAAGGTGTCTATAAAAAGGAGATTCAGAGTTGTGTTTTATGTATTACATTTTTCCCTATAAAAGAGATCAGGTTGGTTCCAGATGTATGTTGGATCAACTACACTGATGGAAGTGGACTGTCCTCTAGCTCCTTCCCACAGCTGCTCCCCCAAACACCTGCAAATACTGCGCTGAGTGCAAGGAAACCCTCCTGAATAGCTAGAATGTGCGGGAAGAGGGGAATTCCTAAAAACCGAATGGCAAGGCCACTGGAAAGTGGAGCCCTAGGGTAACTAGACCTCTTTCTCTCATGCAAGCCAAATCCTGAATCTAACTCAGGACCTAGGCACACCATACACTGGATGCTAGCAGTGTTTGTTCTGCATGCACCGTGTGTGTGTGTGTTTGAAGGGACCTTTAACTTTTCTTCCCACCACCACAATTTTAAGAAGGACAATTGAATGCTATGAACATCCCCTTCCTTTACTATTCCTTACACTGTAGAAAAAAGAAACCCTACAAGCTCCCTAAAGACCCTGATATTAGCCAGTTCATTACTGCAAAACTTCTTTTAAACGGCATGAGAACATTGCATGATCAGTTAAGGCTGCAATCCTATACAACTTTCCTGGAAGAAAGTCCTACTGAACTCAGAACTTATTTCTAAGTAGATCAAAATAGCTTGCACAGTAAGCTTGCTAACTCCTTCACTGCTTTCACAAATGGTCCTAACCATACTCTACTGGCATTGTTGAGCAACATGGCAAGACATTTTGTATACTGAAAAATGCAAAGTAGGTTATTCTTAACAGAGGCAGCATGAAAGATTTAAACAAATGTATTTCTCTTCTACTTACTTCCAAAACTGTCCATTGTTCTACGACGATAGCATCATAGCCTTGTATACTTTTGCTGTCTTCCACAGAAAGATCTTCAAAAATGAATATGCCATCTGTCATTCCCTGGGAAGAATCTAAGGACAAACAAATTATTTCTGTAAGCCATACGGTTAGATATTTTATGTTAAAGTATGAATACACACACACACAATGTAAATGTCTTCTTAGCATGTATGTAGAATAATTCAGCAAGAGAATTAGACCCCAAACCTCATTTACATAAATGGAACTGAAGGAGCTAGTACAGGCACATATTCAACTATTTCTATTTCTGCTCTGCCTTTCCACCAAAAAATGGCAATCAGAGAAAATGCTGAATATTCTAATACAAAGCAGCTCTTCTAGAAATTATGATGAGAACTGCACTTACCTGTATTGGCTATTTCCATATGTGGAATCTGTGCATATGCAAGCTTTGTGATGGGCTAGACTATTTTTTGGGCACCTATGATACAGGGACATAGTCTTGCTTGTCCATTTCTTTCAGCACCATGGAGACATAATAGAAAGCAGCCTGGAAGGAGGGTCTCCTCCACTGTATTATACACCTAACTGGACCCCTTCTGAGGTCCTTCCCTATGGAGTGAATGAGCAAAGTAGGTGCCTGCTAGCAAGTGGCTATTGGAGAGTTGGTGGCACCCAACTGCAGAATGACCTCCACAAAAAAACATTTGCCTGGCATTTACACTGTGATCTTTCTGGGTGCCAGGTGAAGATCCTTTTATTCTCCCAGGCCTTTCAGTACTTTTGTTTAAGAATATATTCGTGCTTTTTCAGATCCTTGCATTGTTGTTGTCATCTGCTGCTGCTTCTTCCGTGGCTATATTAAATTTGTTTCATCGATTAACATAATATTTCATCATAATGATCTTGAATTCTATGGCTTTGGATTCTGTTCTGTGCACTACTCAGAGAACTTCAGTTTTTGAGTGCTATACAAAGGCAGGCATAAATGCACAATGCATACATGGGCTTAAGATTGTACACTGCATATTTTAGACTCTTAACATTTGACTGGTCCCCTTCTACCACCTGGTAATGTTGGGTGGAGGACCTCAATGTCAGTACTACCGTACTAATATTTGTAGAGATTTCTATAGTCTCTCACCAGGCTATAGAAGCAATGGAATGGCACTTAGCATTCCATAAAACCAACATGGGAAGGTTTCCAGCCTCTACCATATCTTTGCTAGTGATGCTTTACTTCTGAGCAAGATTGAGGAAACAGACAGAGATTCTTACTTCTGATTACCCCTTCTTCTATTTTTGCTCCATGACTTAAAATATTACTTGATTGACTGAGTTCACACAACACGCTAAGACACTGTACTTCAGTGTATTGTCTGAACCTTGTGCCTCCTCCATACAGACGCTTCTTAGTGGTTAGGAACACATTCCAAAAAGCCATGGAGTTTTTGACCAGCACTGGGCTTGCTGTGTTGGTGAACCTGGACAACACAGTAAGCGACAGGCGAAGCCTACAGAGCTGCTTGGCTAGAGCAGTAAAAAGTCTCACCTCTCTAGCTAAGTGGCTCTGATGACAGCCATCCAAAATGCCCAAGCATACTACCTCTTCAAGTTCTATTTGGGGCTTGAGGAGGCACTGTGAGCAGTACCACTAGTGTCCATTATGCACTGCCTCCTCAAAGTCCTGCTCAGGGCTTAAGAAGGTAGCATGCAACAGTGATACATTCTGTTGGGACTCCCCTGGAGGAGGCCCAGCAGATGTCCCTGAAAATCGTGGTAGCAAGTTAAGGAGAAAGAAAGAGTCACCACTGACTGGTTCTTCCACAGAGGAGGCCCAGCAAAATTTGCTCCCATCACTCCTCGCCATGGGATAGGTCACGTTCTTCTGGCTCTCCTTGGGATGATGCCCAGGGGAATGCACCATCCATCCTTGCTCAGCATGGCACTTGCTGAACAGGTGCCACGTTGAGCAAAAGTAGGGGGATGAGCCATGTTCTCTTGGGTCTCCTCAGCTGGAGGACCAGCAGAATGTGACCTGAATCCCAGAAGAGAGATTGCTCAAGTTGTGGTGGGAATAATTTGTTCTGTACTGCTGCAACGTCCCCTTGAATATCGACAAGAAAATCTTGAGGGGAATTCCCTTGGAATCCCTGCTGCGCCCAATCATTGGCCAGGCACAGCTTTCTATGCCTGGCTTGTGCTATGTGAACTTACCCAACCTGTTATTTAAATCTTTTGTTTTCAGATTCACAAGGAAAGAGGATGGCATTCTAGGCATACCAACAACATCTTGCAATTTAATGGACACTACAGTCTTTCCCTCTGGACATGGTTGTGGTTCAGTTTCCTTTTTTCTTGGAAAGCTCTAAGCCTATAGCAACATTCCCACTGGGTATTTTCTTGGAAATCAGCAGTAATGGATGCAATGGAACTGTGGCTTACAAAAGAACCTTTGCTTTTAAGAGTTGGGTCAGCTTCTTCAGATCTGAGCCCTCTGCAAATTCTAATATATCCCAATGTAGGTTCTTTAAAGAACAAAGGGCTGTGGCAAGATTTTCTTCACTGCCCTGCTCACAAATATCAAATTCTTCTGTTGTTGGAGCACTAGCAGTTGGGACAGATTTTTCCCCACAGAGGGCATCTCTGTAGCATCTCATACAATGCAGATTTTGAGTCAAGAGTTCCCAAATACTCTTCCTTGAATATTTTTGAACAATTGCACAAACCCTAAACATATTAGATGTGGTAACATCAGTTTGGGCAATTTTGCCTGCATATTTTTACAATTCTCCAATGAAGTACAACTCACAAGGATTGGGAGTCTCTCCCAGCCCATTTGCAAGGGTAAGTAAATGGTGAATGAAAATGAACCTTCTCATTGCAGAAGGTCAGAAAATCACCTGTAAGTTTACCTTCCACCATGAAATTATCATTTAATGTATTTCCCTGTATTATACATGCTCAAGCGACATATCCTAGCGTTCTGACATGCAAATGTCAAAGTAGCTCAATTATAAGGAAGTACATGAAATAACATACATTTAAATGAGCCAGAAGCAGTCATTTAAAAATGTCAACATCATCATCAGCAACAAATGCTCCTAGAAGGAGTAGCATTAGTCAGTAGTATTTTGTAGTATTTGTCTCCATTTAACCCTTCTTGTCTCCAATAAGTCCCAGTTTTTGAGTGGTTTGCTTGCATTCTCTTATTACATAATTGTGGTGATTAACCATGTGGATTCCAGCACATTAGCAACTACTCAGTTAAATCTCAAATCTTAATCAAGTAATGGTTCATTTGTTCTAATAAATGGATCACACAACCATCTATCCGATTAAAACTGAAAATTACTTCTGTTTTGCTCAAGCTTTGGTATAATTTTATTTTCTCTATCTTCACTAAGCTCCTGTAAAAGGTTAACCTCTTCCTTCAAGAGAAAAGGTTCCATTATCACTGAATTTTTTATTAAGGTAAGATGCTCCCCCACTGTGCTCAAAAGGCTATTTTCACTTGGGTATATAAATATTTGATGCTCTTCTGCTGGACAAAATGTCATTTTAATGTTCCTGCACATGATTTACAAGATAACTATGTGAAAAAAATACTATATTATGACAGCCATATAGTAGGAAGCAGCATCTCCCTTTTTTGTCTGTTTTCTTTCAACTATTAAGTCCCATGCACAAAGCCTAACCTTTATGTTTATTGTTACAACCAAGTGAAAAATTGGCACCACAGATACAATGTAGAAATATGGCCTGCATATATTTGCCTCTCAGTAATGTTTATTTCACAACTTAGGGCTACTTCACACATGGTATTTTTCCTATGCTGATAATGCCATTGCGTTACATTACCAGTTAGTAATGGGTTTCCACAACTGGACATGTGGCAAAACAAGCACTAGTGTTTGTCACATGCATCAGTTTATTTGTACATTACATAATTTCTTGCATGAAAGATTTCTGTCTGTAGGAACATAACCATGTGCAGATTTCCCTCTTTATCTCAAACTTTAAAGTCTGTAGTATAAGCACTCGGGCTCAGAGTGAATTCTCTGTGTACAGAATTACAGAAAACTAGATTTGGAAAGGACCAATAAAGACACTGGGTCCAACCCCCACCCCCATACAGGCCTCCAGGTTAAAGCATCCCTAACAGATGGATTTCTATTTGCATCTTGAGTGCCTCTAGTGTGCAAACACCAACAATCTCCCTAGGTAATTGGTTCCACTGTCATATTGCTCTAAAAGTCAGGAAATGTTTCTTGATGTTCAGCCAGAATCTGGCTTCCTGTAACTTAAGCCCATTATTCTGCATCCTGAGATGACCGAGAAGAAATCCTGACCCCTCCTCTGTGTGACAACCTTGAAGAATGCTATCATATCTCCCCTAAGTCTTCTCTTCTCAAGGCTAAACATGTCTAATTCTTTCAATCTTTCCACAAAGAGCTTTGTTTCCAGTCCCCTGAGCACCTTTGTTGCCCTTTTTTGAACTTTCCCAGTCTGACTGCATCTTTCTTAAGCTGTTGTGCCTCTATGTACATATTCCATTTTATGAGGGCTTTAACATTAAAAGTTTTAAGATCTGATTGTTTTAATTGGGGTTTTACTGTCAGTTGAATTTTTAGGATGCTGTGTTTTATTTTCCATTTTTGTATTGTTATACTGTCCTGAGACTTCAATAAGGGATGGTCTAGAAAAGTTTTAAATAAATAAATAAAGGCAAGTTTGACAAAGATTCGACTGATGTTTAATTTTGCTATTTTAAGCAGGGTTTTTTTTTTTTTTTTTTAAATCTGTCTCTCATTGTTCAATCTCTGAGAGCTATTTGGAAGGAAATGTTATTATCCTGCAATAATATAATTCTGTTTGGATTGATGACAAGCTTAACTTTTCTCAATCAGATGTTGACCAAAGGCTTTTTTACAACAGTTATGTCACTTTATCAGGTGCAACCCTGCACACTTCAGTTTCTGCATCCACAGGCAAGATTTCTGAAGGCCCAGGCAGTTATCCAGCAGTGTATCCTACATATAGGAATACATTTTCTAACTCATATCTTACAAGTACTGTTCTGCTTGTTCACAAGAGAAACTGTTACAGTCAACTTGGAACCTTCCCCCAAAGGCACTTTAACTACAGAATCTGACATTAGGGAACTCCCACGGAGCCCCTGTTGTTATATAAATGCACGTTTAATGTTTAAGTAACAGAATAATATTTGTCATGTGCGGCATTTGAAATATTAAGCAATACACTTATAAAGGTCCAGAAATGTTTGCCTTATAAAACAGGCCTAATTGGTCTGTATCAGGCCCAGTGACTCATAGTTTTGAAACTACAGTTTATACATACAAAATTAATGGCCATTTGTTTCTAACCAAGTTAGCTAGTAATTTATATAACCTGCCAAGAAGCTAGAACAAAGCATTCCATCATATGCCCTTTAGAATTTTCTTTGCTATGGGATGAAAAAATTAAGTGGGTATTAATTACACTATTTAATTTTAACAAGGATTTTAACAAGCAAACAAAATAAAACAAATCATTCTAGAAGGTGCTTTCACCTGACTTTGGTTTGGATCCACCCTGTACAATTGGAAGGTGTATATGCAGATGTATATCACTGTTTTCACTATCTGTGGCCCCCTCCTCTGGAGCCTGGTTTCATGGGAGTGTAATGCACCACAGATCCTTTGTTAGATAGTGCCGGAGGAGAAATCAATGGTATTTGTGCATAGTTAGAAGTGCCTTCCACTCGCATATTGGCATCTTTGGATCCAAGCTCACATTTCATGAATCTAAGTTCACAGATCCCAGATCTGCTTCAGTAAGTTGCTTCTGTTACATCAAAACTACCAAGCAAAAACTTTACTAATCTAATGAGAAGTTTTTCATTCAATGAGAAGTATTTATTTTGGTCTGTTTATATGGCTTCCATCTCTGTATTAATTTTCTTTAAATAGTGTGGAATACCCATGCTGATGTTGGTATTTCAGTAAAAAAGATGCTAATGATGATTATTAGCAGCAGGAGTTTACAGACTGACATCAATGCATATAGAGCTTTACAGAGCGTAAGATGAAGAAAATATATTCTAAAATTTGACACAGGAAACAGCATAGGGAGATAGGGAAATGGAGCAGGCGAAGGCAGGGGTCAAATGTGCAACGGTTTTGGATACGTGTGCTTTGAATTAAATGACTGCACCTGCACCAAAATGACTGCACCAAAAAAGAGAGGTGACATAATACAAGCTTATGGCTGAACAAGGGAGAAAGGTTAGCATATATTTAACTCATGCATGTACGCAAAACTCTATGGCCCTGTTTGGACATAATGGTGATTTCAGTCAGTTAACCCAAGAACAAACCATGGAGGAACTTGGAATTATTTAACCCATAAACAACCTGAGATGTCACCGAAACAACCTATGAATGCCACATTTATATGTTGTTGGAAGAAACTAGCAGTGGCTCACCTATACATCACATGTGATGCATTCCCTTACCATCCAGATGTTAATTAGTTAACTCATTAACTGCCACCAGACAATGCTGTATGATCAAAGAAGGAACATGTTAATTGATGGTGGACTCTAGCTCTTGATAGCACCCAACATGCACCCATGCTTAAGGTGCCTAAGAGGAAACTATTATTTTGCTGTAAGAGACTGATACAGACACCTTCCTGGCAACACTGATCCTGTCTTTAGCAAGATTGGGATTAGATATTAAAACAAAAAATATTGGAGCCATGATATGAAGGAACATGGAGCAAAACAGGTGCACATCTAATCAGTGCCTGGGTAGGAAGATAAATAAAGCCATTTATTAAAAAGTTGAAAGGAAGTAACTGTGTCATGCCCAGAGTTTTAATTTTCAGTCCAAATTCTAAAAATAATGTTTTCTATTAATGAAGTCAAGTAAATTCAAGTGAAGGAAACTTTTAGTAGGTTCCCACAATACCAATAATAAACATCATATCCAACACAAATTATAAAGCACTATTTAGTAATATTAGTAATAAATTATCTGAGTGATTCTATGGCCAGGCCAGGATGATGGGAGGTGCCATTACGTTAAGGAATTGCTACCATTTTCTAGATCCTGATGGCTCCCTGGGGTGAGGGCAGAAGGCTGACCATTTCTTACTTTTTCACCTTATCCTTTTCTGTCCTTCAGTTCCATATGGGTCAAAACCCTACGTCTTCCCTCCACTGTAAGCAGGGCATCTATGTCCACGGAACTTCTTCCAGCAAGAATGGAAAGGGTTCTCTGGTTGCGTAGGTACCATTCTACCACTGGACTTGGCAAACTTTAGAACTGCACCATATGGCTGTATATACTACTTTTTCTGAGCAGTAAGAGGAACAGGCATGTCTGAGCTATGAAGCTCAACTAAAAAGCAAATAGATATGTAATATTTAGCAGAGTGGTGATGAGACTGACAAAGCACCACCTTCCATATAACATGTATTATGTCAAGATTTCTGTGTTCAGAAAGAGAAACACAAGAGCAATAATCACTCCCTCTCAGAGTACATGATAAAATGGGCCGCTGATAAGATAGGGCTATTTACTGTGAAATTAGAGTCTGTGGTTTATAGTCATCATTGCAGACAGAAAAAATCCTTTTATGAAGGTCACAAGAAATAGAAAAACTAACTTGGTTTACACAGTTTGCTACAATGCTTGGGATAAATGACTTTCCATGGTTTGTTGCTGGATTAACTCTGGGTTGTTCAACTAACAAACAACAGAGGGTTCCTGGATTTACACATCAGAAAACCTAGAGTTGTTAACTGAAAGCAGAGACAGCAAGTGCACGGGAAACAGGGCTTTTCTTATGTTTGACCCTGGAAATTCCAGGGAAGTGAGAAGTTTCTTGTTCTGAGGCACATTCGGCAATACTCTGTAACATCTGTGCTTATGAAACTGTATTTAACTCAAAAGCAAAACAGATACATGCTTGTGCATGCATATAGTTCGTGTAACTCTTCATAAAAGTGAAGTGGACATTAAGAACTTTTAAGGTTCACATAAAGCCAATGGGGAAAAGAAAGCCATGAAGTTATTTTTCAGTTGCTCACTTTTCATGATGTAAGCAATTGCCCAACTGTTATAGATCAGATGCTGTCATGCGCTGAGTGCCTGGAAACACTGGCATTCCCAGACTATCACTAATTTCACAGTAATGTGCATGCTTGGAGTTAGCATTCCAAAAACCCAGAAGCCACCTGGGGGAGTAAGCCAAAAGAGACTACAAAGATTGGCATAGGTAGCGTAGTGAGAGTGCTAATCTCCCTTTCTAAAAATAACTTTTTGCCCTACTTCCTGCCACAGTCGCTGAAGAAAGTAGCAGTGCAGCTAAGAAACTCTGCTCCAAATGTGGCCAGATTTCTGAGAAGTGCTTTGAAATGCTGGTGGCCTGCATGTGTTCACCCAAATCCAATTATTCCTTGCAGGTACACAAGCTCAAGTGGTTCCTCTTAAGTGCCAGTGCTCCCAAAAGCTTGTTGTCCAACATTAGAGCAGCCATACTTGATATGATCAAGGGTCCATCTAGTCTAGCACTCAGCTCATGGTGGATAGCCAACTTTATGTGGCAAACCAACATGTGCAACTTGAGTGAAACACCACCTTCCAGTCATGTTCCCCAGCAACTGGTGTGCTCAGGCATACCAACTCTCTTGCTGCAGGTAGCATATAACTGTCAGGATTAGTAGCCATTGATGGCCTTCATATCTATGAATTTGTCTAATACTCTCTGAAAGCTATTCAAACTGCTGGCCACCACTACTTTGTGTGGTAGCAAATTCCACAGTTTAGTTATGTGCTGAATGAGGAAAATTCTTCTTGGATCTGCCTAGAATCTCCCACCAATCAGCTTCATGGGATTCTTCTTAATGGCAATGCCACCAGCCCCTGGAATGAGGTCAATGTGAAAATCTCCTCACCCTGCACATGCACATGTCTGCCTGGACATGCATACTTACAATTCCAGGGGCTCTGGATTAATGCTTTTATATAGCCAAATTGTATTAAAACCTTTAAAAAGAGCCATTTGCTGTGTGTGCAGTGGTCTCCAGACACCAAAGTAGTTTTACAGGAATTAAATTCAGCAGCTTGAAAATCTGTAAAGCTGCTGCTGCTTCAAAGACTGTTCCTGATTGACACTAACTAATAATTCACACTCAGTATGGCATGCAATTTCAAGGTGTAATTAGCAGAAAAAGATAATATTCCTTTTGCTGAGAACCTATCTGAAAGACAGAAAGCAGAAGCTAGGGAATGAGGTGCTACTTAAGCACATCTGCCTCATTTCTTTGATTTCAGACCTGTTTTACAAAAAGAGTTCCTATCACTTGTAAAATAACCAACAGTCACAAATTTTCCATTCTGAACTACTTTTGTGCATTTCAACAGATGCAGAAAAAAAAGGAATTATCTGTTCCTCATTTAAAGGGATGAAGATAAACCAGGAATAGACTTGCAGAAAAAGTGCGTACCATTTACCATTCCAAGACTGAAGATGGCATTCACCAATGTGCTCCCTTTCCGGAAGTGTTCTGTCATATGTTCCAGCCAATTGGCTTCTAAGCTGCAAATGCTCTGCCCATTACTGATGATTTTCACAGGAATTGTGACAGTGTAGTACTGGCTGGATCTGTGCGAGGTCTTTGCCTTGTTGAAGACAGCGAAGATTTCGGTTTCTAAACAAAAATACAAAGTGCAGAAATAGCTGTAACTGAAAAGGCAGCAAATACAGAGCACTGGCCATGCCTAAGGTATTGACTCATAGATCAACTGCATTCCTGTCCCACCCAATAGATGAATTGGTGAGCATAAAGTACCATAACACGTTAATAAGCTCTATTAGCTGAGTTTTCCCCTGTGCTTAATGAAAACATTACTGGACCATTAACAAAAAATGTTTTTCTTCCTCGCTACGGAATGACCTTAAAAAGAGATGAACTAATAATTTCAACCATTAAACTCTTGCCAGCTGAATCTGCATGACCAAATAAAGGCAGAAACAAGTTTATAAGTCATTCGTTGAACAAAGATCTCATAAATATAGGCAAACTCCCTTCACGACATTTTCTGTGCCATTGCTTTTTTTTCCTATCACCTCTGTTAAATTTGTGCGTGTCTTTTAAGTTCTTCCCCTTCTTAACAATGACTGAGTAAACTGCATTGCGCAGAGAGAGAGAGAGAGAGATCTCCCCTCTATGCATCAATGTTCAGAGTTGATACATTGTTCAAGTAAGGCTTCTCATTTTCTGAACCACAGAAGTGTTCACCTCTGCAGTTGCACAGCTTTGACTAAAAAGAAAATGCTTCAAACATCTTTGCACACATTTGAGGGACATTTTTTTAAAAAAGATGGCTGATCAGTGACAACCCCTTCAGTGTGCCACTTGTACACTTGGGAAGGGCTGATTAAAGATTGTACTCAGTGAACTCCACAAAAGGAGGCAAATGAGCTTTTAAAAAAGCTTACAATTGTGGTCGTAGGAGGGAGACGAGTCAATCCTGCCACAGAACGCCCTGGGATGTTCATAGGAAAGCTGAGAATGCAGTGAGGAACAACCCATGGTGAGACCAATCATCTGTTGTAGGCACTGTAGTTGTTCAGACAATAACAAATCCACCATGGTTTATAGCTGGGGTACATGCACATGCTGTGTGAATGCACTTTGTTACCCATTGCTTTGCCATCTGAATTACTGAGTTGAAATATGCATTTTTCAAGAAAAACACTTGCTGGAACACAGCTAGCTATGCTGTGCAGCATCTCTGCCAGTCGCCTTTTATGGGCATAAAGTGCATATTTTTATGAGAATAGCTGCCATGACAGAAGTAGCACCATTTTTGCTTTGCTAACAGAATCAACTTCAATCTTTTCCCAGGTTCTAGATTCGCTTCTTTTTATTTCGTTTTTGAATCTGAAACCTTTCTGAAACTTCCTTGTTTGGACAGACAAGGGGTACAGAACCTCAAGAGTTCCCCAGAAGCCCATGTCCCCTTTCCCCTTCTTACTGATCATTTGGTGGTTTCCTGACTTTTGTGCATATTTTCCCCAATTCTAAAAGGCTGATTCACCTCACCAAGGCTTAGTTACTGGTATATTTTTAGGCTATGATGGAAAGCATTAGATATTTTGGGTTTTGCCCAACCTGGCTGCTATAATGTGATCTTCAAGGGATTCCCCAAAATGAAATTCAGCCTGTGGACTGAAAGAAAGGTCATGCAACGCACGGTTAGACATTCATGCTGGGGTCTTCAACTTTTTCCATGTGGCATGAGAGACTGAAAAGTTTGTTAGCATGAGATCACTGAAACTCCACTTTTCTCATTTAGTTTGAAGTACAACCTTATCGATGTTCAACTTAACTTATTCATGTGTATTTCTAAATGTATGATCTGCTGCAAATAGCTTTAGTCCTATATGATATTTTACCTTTATAGCTTCCTACCTAAGGAGTTCAACGCAGTGCTAAAACTTTTTCTACTCAACCTTCCTGGAAGGCTGTCAAATACCTAGAACTTCTCCAGCATTGCACAAGAAGAATGTTCTGTTATTAATCAGTAACTGAAAGAACTATTGTGCCTAACTGCACCATATTTTTCCATCTACAGAACCACCTGCATGATCTTCAAAAGGCTGGAATACTGGTAGGAAGCCTTGAGCTCCAGTTTCATAATGGGAAAATTCAGTCACAACAGTTCTATTTAGCTGTTTTTATGCATCTGTATAGAAATAGAGAATGTGGAAAAATGTGGATGTATGCTACACTCTGCCACTATGGGATAATAATCAAGTGAAAAAGGCATCTAAAAGGGGCTAAACTACTGGTACCTCTGTGATAATGCTACACAAAGCAAGGCAGCCAGCTCCCCATGGTTTTCTTTGCTTTTCTTGCCTGTTTCTGTAGCTTTCTTTCTCTCTTTCATCATGTCACCACATTGTTCTTGAAGAACAACCTTGGATTTCCTTAGTTACTTTGAATGTTACTAACCTGACTTTATTAAATAAACTGTCATCATATTTTTCTAGCTTGTGACTGTTCCTTTTCTTCCAGGTCTTGCCTCCTACGAGAATTACATACTTTTAAATTGACAGATACTTTCTGAAACACCTCTCTTTGTAGGACACTATCAACAAACCCTACTTAAGTGGGGAAGGGGAGGGATATGGAAAGAATTATTGGAATTCTGAAGCTGCCACAAGAAGCAAATGATGATTCTTTCAGATAGGCAAAAAAGAGAGAGAGATGCATTAATTAAGGCAAGAACAAAATACTAAAAATACTAACAAGCTGTTCTTAGAAGTCTAAGGGAAAAGGGAAGAAAATATTCTTGCATATTTTGCATAAGCAAGAGGATTTTAAAATGGCACCAGGTTAATTATTTTTTAATTAAAAGCAAAAAAGACTATTTCACTAAGCATGCCTGTTTTAAATACTTTTTAACTATTGCACCGGATTATTCTGCAAAAATCCCACCACCACATAAGCATTTAAACATGTGTTGCAGTAACAACACTAACTCAAGTTAATACTACACAACCAATGTTAATATATCATTTACTTTCAAATAAATACACTTATAAATACACATGCTCATAATATGCTTAAATAAATATGCTTTCAATTAAAATGCTCATAAGCTCTGTCAAAAATGTAGGGTTGAATCCAATCTTGCATAAGCAAATTTCCTCCTGCGTAACAGAAGTTCCCCTAGTTCTCCTTCCCCTTGCAACCCTTCGTGTCCTCACTAAATCTACTACAAAATTGTCTCCCAACGGTTCAAAGCAGATTTGGAGAAGCTGTGCAACTAGGGGCACTCCTAGTATTTAAATGGTCTGGGCATAGGATCACGACACATATTTGCATGCGCTATAATATCAAGCAAATAACTAGAATGTATTTGCATTTTCTCAGTTTTAACACAATGAAGTAAAGAGTGTCTCCAGGTGTCTCTCTTACCACTTTCCAGATTTCCTTCCCCGCAGAGTTAATAATGCAACATAGTCAAACCTCAACATTCCCTTTTTTGAGATTAAGCACTGACCACACAGGTTGGAAGAAAACTACAACTACGTCACATATATTCTCTTCCTTTCCACACAACAATTCCTTCTAATTTTTCCATCCTCCAGCAACTCATGAAATTTTGCTTTTTCACAATTTTCCTCTACCAGTTCCTTGTTAACTGCAAATTCTCATAGGCTCTTTCCTCCCTATAACTTAATGTGTGCCAAGGCTTCAGGATTCAGCAAAGCAGTCTGTTTTAAATACTTGGATTAAGTTATGGAGACAGTACATTTGAGCATGTGCCAAGTATATTTTTCTGGGCAATGAAGCTAGAATCCATGCAAAAGAAAAAAGTACAAATGACTAAACATGCATTGGAACCAGGTTCCTTGAGTAGAATGGGGCTGGCAGTTCATGAAACCTGCAAGACCACATTCATAATCCAAGACTTGTATCTGAGCACCTGTAGAAGATCAAGTTGTAAACCTCCCTGCAAATGTAACATAGGCTGCAATGCTCCTTTCCTGAGACTAATCTCTATTGAACATACTTGGACTTAAAGCTTGACATTCCATTGCTAAATAATGAAAACTGATACACAAATTAGCCCCAGTTCCTTCATCAGCAAATATGTGGAGAAAAACAAACTTGCCTATTTGTATAAAGTCAAATATAGTTCAGAACTTCTTTAATCACCCTGTATGTTAAGAATTCATTATGATGTACTCTGGATAGAATACAGAACTGAAAGGGAGTTCAGGAAAGGAGAAGGAAGGAGATGGAAAGTAGAATGACGACTGGAAATGAAAGGGAATGGATCTCCCAAACCAAGAGGCTCTTACAGAGCTGTAGCAATTTAGAGGAATTTGGGAGGAAGTGGGGAGGCTAGGGAGACCTGTACATACTTTCATTTTATGAGGTGAGATGGCCCAGGGATTTTTTCTAGCTTTCTTAAAAAACTGTAAACTTAATTTAAAACCCTATGCCTGTTGGCAATACCATAAAGCACTTTGTATGCAGCCTCCTTGGCATGCCCTAGAACATGACATCAGCGTGGCAGGGTGGTTAGAGTGTTGGACTGTGGACCTGGAAGATCCAGGGTCTAAGTCTCTGCTCAGCGCACTGTGTAACTTGGGGCCAGTAACTGACTCTCAGACTAACCTAGCTCACAGGGTTGTTGTTGAGAGGATAAAATAGAGCTATATATAATCTGCTTTAGGTTATTCACAAGAGGAAAAAAGGCAAAATGTAAATGCAATGAGATAAATTACCACCACCACCTACTCTTGCCCATCCATTTGATATAATCTGCTGCCTGAAGATACGCAGACATTAAAAGATGGAAGGAAGGGAAGAAGTTTACGGAGGCTAATTAAATTATTTGCTGTACTGGAGCTACTGAGCTTGCACAAAAGCCAATAGTTCACAAAATCTACAAAGTAAACACATGAGGCAGCCTTGTGCTGAGGGTCAAACCACACATTTGAAAATAACATGCTAACAGTTACAATCTTTTGTATACTGGAGAGAATCTGATTTTTCTTGGGAACCCCTCTGTGCTTAGGGAGGTAAAAGTTTAATCCTTTCCTTATAAGTCATGATGTTACTGATAACACCTCCTCACTCCAACACACAATATGGCTTTAAAAGGAACCCTTTCCCTAAATGTGGGTTTTCTCCTAAGCCTGCTAGCTTACTCGTAAAATCAGGGCTAGCAAGGGAAGGACTCCCTCTCTTCCTCACAGAGGGGAGGACTGGAACCCTCCCAACTTGTGAAAGAGGAGTAATAGTATTTTTTGGCTGCAGAAAACAAATAAAAAAGGTTCCGGGGGGTGGGGGGAGAGGAAGACCTTAAGTCAGACTCTCAGCTTACCTAGGGCTGTCCTCTCTGTCAGTAGTTCTTCATGAGATCTTTTAAAATACGAAAGGCTGAACCTCAGACTTCGTGAATTAAAAAATATGTGCACTATGATTGAACTATTCTCTTCTCTCTACTTTCTTTTTACTCAGATTAAGAATAGGTAGAAAGACAACAATCAGGAAACTAAGTAGAAGATTTATCTTCTGCAACTAGGTAGAAGATTATGACCACTCACAATTATAATACCCTCCAATAGCTACAGGGTGACATGATAGTCCACCAAGGGCTATAAGTCAGAGGAGTTTTGGGATAGACCAATGGATTAGAGCATGTTTGATGGACCAAAAGCAGAGGGCAACTATTAGTGGGAAATCATTAGGAGGGTGGCCAGTGACAAATGGGGTGCCCAGCGCTCTGTCCTAGGACAGGATTCTAGGACTGATCCTGTTAAATCTTCTCATCAAATTTGCAGATGATACTAAAATGGGGGCAGTAGACACAACTGAGGAGCAGGTATTCCAGAAGGCTCTGGATAGACTATGGAAGTGAGCAGGGAAAACAGGATGGCATTCAGTTGTGTTGCACAAACCCTTCAATCATGGGTTACACAAATGTTAATCTGTTTTAGGGCAATGTGAGAGTTGTTAATCCTCACATAACTTGTAGGCCCTCGGTTTGCAGAACAAAATGAAGCCATCTCCCCTTATGTTGTTCTTGGAAATCCCTTTAATGCCCCTCAATGCCAGATCTGCAAATTGCTTTGTGCATTCAGGGGCATTTAACAAAAATGTTTAATTTTCATGTGTTTTTTAATGCAACATTCAAAATGTGAAAATGTAAAGATGTAGAAGTGAAATATGAATGTTTTGCACACATGAAAGAAAGAAGTTGAGATCTTGGTTTGGCAAAACTGTCCAACTGCTGAGCCAAGATTTATATAGATCAAGACGATTGCATTATCATTCATAGGAAATTGGATAATGGCTTATTCAGCCAAGAATTTTACAATTCAGCATACACATATTAAACACAAACCCACCATTATTTCAACATCAGCAATTATGCTTTAAATCCTGTTATAAATGGAAACACATTTATATGTTCACAAAGAAGTTAAAATATGCTTGTGGATGGGATATAACATTATGTAATTCATATATAAGACACAGTATCTATAGGGAAGCAAAGACCAGTCAAAGTATGAAAAGGCAGTATGAAACAATCTTCACTGCGAGAACTCATGACTCTGAAAATGCAATATGATGAAGCTCTCATTAACAATTTCAGTATCTCACTTCAGCCAGAAATACCTCTCTGAAAAAAGAAAATTACACAAGAAAAGAAATGAGAAGAACAAGGTTTTCTTATAAAAGATAAGACAGACCATGAAGAAAATGCAGATATTCTTTACCTCTGTGCTCACATGGGAGGAAGAAAAATTAATGCCAAGACTGGAATAAGTTTTCCAGGTTAGGAAAAGGAAGTGGGATGTCACAAAAGGGTAATAAAGACTTTGGATGTACTGTGGGAAAATACTGTGGTACAGTTAAAATGCCTTATTTTCTCATGCACATATATATCATGGAGTAGATCTTCAAATTTGCACACTGTTATGATTACCACCAAATATTAGCAGGTAAGGTGCATTGTGAAGTTAGAATAAAAAGAAAAGGAGTTAATGTCTGAAAGAAACCAAATCAGAAAATATATACTTACTTTAAAGAAACAGTTTTCTACTTTTACTAGTCCCAACTGCCCCCTAGTCTATGGGCTATTGCGCCCTATTGCTCTCGCCTGTAGCCTACTGTTATGACACTTTCAACACAAGCATGTGTGTGCTGGTTCCTCCCTCAATTTCCAGATGCCCCAATTCCTCCTGCTCCTCCCTATTTAATTATGTTTAAATATTTGCATGAATCTTAAATGTGCTCTGGAAGCAAAACAGAATCAACAGGAGTAGTTTAGTCTCTGTTTTAAAAGCTGTGCAAGCAATGCAAATAATTAATGTATCCTAAAGCAACCAAATGGAAAAAGCTGATCATAACTGAAATACATTTGTTAAAATTTGGCTGCTTTCTCACTTTTCAGCTTGGTAAAACTTCCTCTTTTCTTTTTTTTAAGTTTCCTGATTAGTTCATGGGTCTTTTCCTAAGACTCTACAGAAGGAAAAGACAAGTTGTAGTTCTTCAAAAGAGAAAAAAAATCTTTGTTAGGATTTCTTTTTGGTTTTGGTTTTAAAGAGTTAAGGAATTCTTACGGCCAGTTTCAGGTAGAACTCTTATACTTGTGACACATGACCTAAGGTTAATTGTTGCTATCTTGCTTTCTTAGGAAATGCAAGATGCAACAGAGTTCAGATGTCTACCCCTGATAACATGTTTATCTTTCACACAGGCAAAGGGCCTTCCATGCTCCCAAAGCACTACTAACCATGTACACTGGATTTTTACCTAATGTATCATGAATCAGACCTTCAAAGGCAATTTACAAAGTTTAAAACAAGGTCCCTGAAAGCTAGAATCTAGTGCCTGACATTGGATGGCCACTTATGAATTGCCAAAAGAGAGGACAAAAGAAGGCAATTATTTGCATAAATGTTGCAAGTGCTAATTGATATGTAAAAATACAAATTTAGAAATATTATTATGATAAAAATACAGTATACCATAGTGTGGAAGACTGTGACCATGCAACTGTGTGGTTGTCTGCTCAATCTACTGTCTAGATACTAACTAGTGACGAGCAACATTTGCATGGTACTTTCTCTATATACTGGAATTGAACAGTCCTCCAAATAGAGGGCAACTTCAAAAATAGAGTAGTCCTTAGCAGACCTTTAGACAGAGGATTGCTCTATAATAGAGGGCACATGGCCACCCTGGGAAGAATGAAAAATGTAAAATCAGTGTACTGATTGATTTGCTGCTCTCTAGCTTTTGCACAAATCTGCTTAAAAGCAGGAACATGATGATAGGTGATTATAAACAAAAAGAGAGCAAGCTAAAATTCCTGCCACATGGGCTTAGTTAATAAAGTTAAAATATACAATAAAACTTGGGTTGTTCAGGAAACACACTACAAGGATAGAAGCATTATGATACAGTTACGCTGAGGTTACATGGGAGGATAGAACAAAAGGTTTTATATACATATTCTCAAATACCTAGAGTAATATAGAGAAATTACCAAGAATGCATCCTCTCAGGCTACCAAAGGTGAAAGTAAGCTCCATACTGTTGCACAGAAAGGAGTGGAGAGCTGAATAAGTGGTGTTGGTGATGTGGTATTGTTATTATAAAGACAAAATGGTCTGTTTATGAGAGGCCACAGATAAAACAGCTAGCAGGCCCCTTGACAATTACGGTAGTTTTCGAGCTCCATACTATTTTGTACAGAGGAAGGAAAACTATGAGATCGACTGATTCCAAAAAGGAAGCCACAGCCTTGGTTTGGAAGGGCTGAGCAGGGCTGTCAAGGACAGGTCATTTTGGGGGACTTTCATTCATAGGGTTGCCAAGTCAGAGATGACTTGACTGCACGTAACAACAGCATATTATTTTGTACTGAACAATTAAACATTTCACAAAATGGAGTCATGCATAAATACATTATTTCAAAACAGAGAACCATTGATTATTGTAATATATCAAGCTTTAGTTCAAAATTATGAAAATATAGTGGCTAGGGTCAAGCTCTCATGCCTAGCTCTCAATGGAAATACCCTGGTGAAAGGCAAAAAGCAGCCAAAACATGCAGCAAACATAGTGTGGCAATGTTCTTGGTGATGTAATCCTTTCAACTTTAAGGGCTGAACTGGCAGTTCTCAGTGCTCCCTACCTTTTCAACACTTCATTGCGTCTGCAGACACTCCATAAAGGGGAGTGTCCCCCACTTTTCAGAGCACTTACTACAGGTGTATAAATTCCCCCTTCACTTCCCAACATTATATTTATGTATATTTCTGTCAGGAAACCACAATAACCTCTGCAGTAAGTATTCCAAAAAGAAAAAACAAAAGTGGGAGGCTCAGGGTTAAGATCTCTAGAGATTCAGAGAAGTGTTAAAGAGATGGAGGGCGCTGAGAACTGTTGTTCAACACTTTAAATTAAGAGAATTTCATCATTAAGTGATACTGCACTCCCTTTTGGTGACCAGACTTTTGCTGTGCTTTTGCTTTTTACTGGTGCCTTTCCACTGACAGCTAGGCACTTAGTACCTGACAATTTTGATCTGCCAGGATTGAATGACACAAGAACTCACTGTGGGCTGGACATCCCCTGTAGTACTACTGGAAGAACAAACTAGATTACAAAGTATGTTGTACAATTATGCTATGCTCAATGTAAATAAGTGTTAAAACCAATGAGTTTATTATTTTAAAATGTCACATTCACACAGCATACAACAGATAACTCCATCCCAATCCAGGACTGTGCTAACCTTGGGGAATCACCTGCATTCTCACCTTGATGTTGCCCTCCATTTTCTCCAATAGAGCTTAAACTGAGATGTTCCGTAACCTGCCCCTCGCCTCCAGGGTCTTCACTGGGGTCTACATTCTGGTCCACATTTTCTTCCCCTGTTGCTGGGACCTTATATTCATTAGTGCAGTCTGCTTTCTCACGATCCAATGAAACAGAATCCTCAGGCAAGTCTGATGGATTTTTGTCACCTTTTAGTTCTCTGGAGCTGTTGCTGGTAGATATCGCAGCACTGCTGCTCTTGAAGCTCATTTGGGAAACATGCTGAGGAACTATTCCAACAAACCTCAAGCCTCGACTTGCTGCATCTTGAATCTATAAAATTCAAACAGAATTGCATTTTAATTTACAAGTTATTCTTTAGGTATAAGACTGTTTCAAATGAAGCAGGTCAGGTGGATTAGATTTCCTTTTCCCTCCCCAGAATGGCCATGAAAAGACTCATTAGATTTGTTCACTGCATTCCAAGGAAGTAGATGCACTCTTTTAACAAAAGGGAGGGGGAGACAGTTAAATAGGATCACACAGAATGATATGCATAGCTTATACATATGTGGGCATTGTCCCTGGAAATTGGATGTTTCTTCTTTATGAATTTGCTGGACTGGGTTTTTTTCTAGTTAACAGTCTTTAATGCATGAAAAGTAGCATTTTTATTAATCAATATCACAATGCCATTTTTCTTAGATTTTGAGGCTATCCCCAATGTCTTTTGCACCTGTTTTTCTAGTTATTACCTTTTTAAAATGGAAGGATTGCAAAATATGCTTTCTATCACAAAACTCAGGAAGACAATCTCAACTGCCACAACAGGACTGGAAAAACGTATTAATATTTACTTTTACCAGAATGATAGAGGGGGGAAAAAGCTGCTGAAATGTCTTAGATTGCCTTTGGAGACAACTTCTTGTTTCCAAAAGTTTCTCTAAACAGCTAAAACAGGGATACAGAACTAAATTGGGTTGTGGAGCCAAATTGCTCCTCCAGAGTATATGGATCATACATCAATAGGCGTATGCTCACTAATGCTGTTTCTCTGCCTCCCTCCGCCCCCCAACTTTATCTTTCTCCTTGATGAGAGAGGAACTGAGTGCCATGCTGGGGCACACATTCAGCTCATACTGGGAGGAGCATAGGGGCAGTGCATTCTGCATAAAGTCACACAGCCAGCACCAGAAACAGTGGCTAGTCTTCCCAGCATTGGCTGAATCTCTGGCTTTGCTGGACTTTATAAAATCTATGGCAACAAGCATTGTCTTTTTTTTTTTTCCTTTGACTATGAAAGAAATTGACAGGCCGATTGCCCAGCCAATTTTGGAGGCCAAAAGAACATCTCCTGGCTATTCTGTGATCCAATACACCCACAGAAAAGGGAAGTGTAAGATTGTTCTTTGTTACATTCTGCATTCATGCTTCATCACTGTATTCAATAAACTATGGATCATTTTGACCCAGGTTTCATTTCTTCCTAAGTATTCTCAAATTTAAAGTGAGGTACATCTTGGTTTGACCAGGCCCCTGAAGTTAAAACAGATGACAAGCCTGAACTTTGGTACTATATAAAAATATGATTAGTTGTCTGTTCCTCTGTCTACACCAGGTAAATTCACTGCTGCAAGAAAAAGCAATACAGCTGGACTGCCACACTTGCTAAAAACAATCCCATTATATAAAAATAAAAAAGCAGTATTAGACAAGTTTTCTCCTTTATACCAGGTACACACAGTACCATCATCTCCAATATTAGAGGTCAAAATAATTATAGAGTTCTTTAAAATGCAAAGAAGATGGAATCAATTACCTATATGAGCTACATGTTGACAGAGAAAGGAAGAAAGAGAAGCAGTCATTTTATTCAACCTTTTTTTTTAGAACAGAGGAAACCTCATTGTATTATTCCCAAATGGTATGAATCATCCCGATAGCTGTACTACTGTTCTGAATATATACACAACACCTGGATGACAAAAAGCAGCTTCCTCTTTCACACTATTGTAATAATTTATGAGCTAAACTGTGTGATAGAAGGAATTAAAGTTTGCTTCCCCAGGAAAGCAAGAGAAAGCTGTACAGTCACAATTGCAGGATTTTGGAATCAGAAATGCAATTTGCTGATAACACGCCAATATACAACACCCTGGTAAAAGCTCTTACTGAAGTAAAGATAGTGTTTCAAAGATTTAGATTAAAGGAGGAAAGTGTTTAATCGGGCTGCTGTACCATTAAAATTGCTATACTCTTTTGCATTTAGTGTTAGTGCTGGACCATAAGTATAGCATGAGCTATAGGGAAGAATCAGGACCAAGAGCAAAGTTAAGGAACAAGATGGGAACCAGGGCCAAGGAAACAATTAGTAGGAATAACAGATAACTAAAACTAGACAAATTTACCCATCCTTACCAACCGGACATTTGCCCCACCAAGAGCAAAGTAGAAATTAACATTAACATAGAGTAATCTAGAAATTGCAACTGAGGACAAGGCCAAACATTAGGATCAGAATATACATGGGAATGCATCAGAGCTCAGTTGCTCTGGTAAGGCTAATTCATACAGGAAGTCCTTTTGGAATGAGATTGGTCCAATAACAGTTGGTGGGGCCATTCTTGACCTCATGGATTTAATTCCAATTGGCATTTTCATGGTTCATCAGCTGCACACAAAACTGAAAGCAGTCAGTCTGAGTCCCCACAGCTTCTGATAATTAGTTGACCTGAGTAACAAAAATGTAACTAGTATTATGAACTGATAAAACACACTCAACTGACAGACCAGCTGACACTGCAATTTTTTAGGATCAACTACCACCACCTTTTAATTTCCTGGTTTCCCAAAGTTTATAAACATTTTCTTGTTCAGGGAAGAGATCGTAAGAAGTAGCCATTTGGACTATGGAAGCAGAGGTGTGAGGTTATGATAAGCAGCAATTTCCAGATATTGAGTCTAACATAAACAAGCCTTGCCTGTCTTGGCTTATATTTCGCTTTATTCTCTCAAACAGCAGTAGTAGGGATAAATTAATTCTGTTTTGTACTACTCGCACTGCAAATGCAATCGAGAGTAAGCATCTCCTGTTTCACTTTGGTGCAGCATGTGCACATAAAAGGACAAAGCATTCTGCAGAAGACACTATTCCAGTAAACTACTATTGATGCACTTGTGGTATATCAGGATTAATGTGATAGGCCAGGTAACTAACACTTTCCAATAACACTTTACGACCTCATCTGCTACCTTGGAATCACAGAAGCAGAAAGCAAAAGTAGCAATTTCTGAAATTAGTATCAACACCTCCCACCCCCAGAATGATACAAATAATTTGCAATGCATTCATTATTTGACAGTGATGAAATCTTATTCATGTTTGAATGCTAATCAAAATTGCATTTGCATAGAAACATGTCAGTCCTCCTGTACAAATAGAATTTCATTTGGACTAGCATAGTACAGCAATTAAAAGCATGAGTTGGAAGATCCCAATTAACATCTAAGCTCAGATATCGGCTCACTGTAGGCAAGTCAGCACATTTAAGAATCAATTCCTATTCCCACGTATAATATGGAAGCAAGCTATTCGACAATATTAGGATTGTTATAAGACACTTTGAACTTTAAAACTACTAGCACTACTATGATGATGATGATTACTTAACAGCTGCACTTGAAGACAAATAACATACACTGCAAAGGTATAAAAATGCTAATCTCAAAACACTTGTAGTTGCACCACTCCTATTGCACTGCTTTAGAGCAACACCCATTGGCCCTGAATTGGTGTGATGGATCAGTTTTCCTGCCTCCTGGGTCCCTTTCTTCATCCATGCTGCAGAAAATTCTGAGGTCCAGCTATAGCCTCAAGTAAACAGCACACACCCTAGCATGACCTCAACACCACCCTACAGCTGCAAATTTTTGGAAAAGGTTGATTAAGTCATCGCCCTTAGCATTGTAGATAAGGCACTGAACTTCAAGAAGGAAGAACTAATATCAAATCCCTGCTCAGTCACAAAGCCCACACTGGGTTGCCTAAGACAACTGCCCCTCTTTCTGACCTACTGTACAGAGTAGTAGTTGTGAGAGTAAAACAGGACAGCCCCTGTATATGTTGCCCCAAGAGCCGTCAAGGAAATGTTTGTGACAGCTTATCCACAGTTATCAGTCTTACCAAGTCCCCTGCTCCCAAAGTTTCACAGAACACACATTATAAAACTAGGTTAATAATTTATCAAGAGAATCACAACAGAGACTGGGGATAAGGTTTTCCTTACTTGTGCTGCCAAGGGAAACCCCAGGGTTTTCTTCACTACTATGGAAGACCCTTTTCTTTTCCCTGATCTATTATCAAAGATGAGTGCTAGCAAAGGAAACCTTTCCCTTATCTCTGATCATTGGGACAGAGTTGCTATTGCTCCAGAGGCATCACCACAAACAAATCCAGATGTAGTTGGTAAGTTATCCTCCTAAAGTATGAATTCATTATTTTTTATTTTTAATGAGAAACTATTTATGAGAGAAGATTGATATTCATTCCCCTGTCATTGCAAGCCAGACTATACCACGTGTTTCATATTAAGCTATAAGTTTTAAAGACATTTTGAACAAATAAATTAACTGGGGTAAAGCCACAGGGAGATCAAATGATGTCACAGTTCATTGGATGTTGGCGTTTAGTGCAAGTTCTCTAAACTGTACAGAGATACATCACATAGTATGCTGGCACTCTTACGCAGTTCACAGCACTCTGCCATCCAAAAAGAGAAAAACAGATTCTATTTCCATATTGTCATGAAACTTCAGAATTCGTTCATTTTGAACCAAAATAAACACAGTTCTTGCTGACTAGAAACAAGTTTTCTAAAATAACTGTAAATGTTACAGGCCTGCACTGTACTTGGCCAAATAGTATTTATTTATTTTTTATTTAAAACTTTTATATGCCGTCACCACATGTGAGCATCTCAGGATGGCTCACAAACATACAATTAAAACAATAAAACAATAACAAATTCCATAAAAAATTATATAAAAACAAAAAAGCGACTGTTAATGATAAAATATTAATTTTTAAAATAGCAATTAAATAAAAAGGTATTAACCTCATGCCGAAAAGAATATAAACTAGGCACCAGGCACACCTCTCCTGGGAGCGCATTCCATAATCTGGGCACCACCGCAGAGAAGGCCCTGCTCTGGGTAGTTTTTCTTTTTATCTCCTTTAAAGAGCAAAGCCTCTCCCACAGATTTTAAGGGGCATGAGGGCATGTAAAGGAAGAGGCACTCCTTCAGGTATCCTGGTCCCAAGCTGTTCAAGGCTT